CGGGAAAGGTATAAAGAAATTAAAGAAATAATCGGGTGCTGAAATGATATCAGATTCCATGTCCTACAAAAATAATGCCGAAACGTGGACGAAAACGCAAAACTACTAAAGAATTCGAATGACGCATACTCCAGTCGTCTAAGAAAGATCCCAAAGCGTCGCCTAGAGAAATAAAAAAGCGCTTAGATCTTGATGTTAGTGACGTAACAGTTCGTAGACGTTTATTGGAATATAATTTAGTCACGCGCAGTCCGCGAAAAATTCCATAGTTGACAAAGATACATAATTAGAGCGCCGCTCCAAATCGCCAAGGAACATGGCAACTGGCAACCGGAGTGATGGAGAAATATTTTGTGGACAGAGGAATGTAAGGTAGTTTTATTTGGTGGCACAGGGTCTAAGCAGTATACAGTAAATACGGAATATAAACCACAATACACTCTTAAGACCGTCAAACTTGGTGGTGCATAGTGGGAAAGTTTCTCGTAGAACGACGTGGCACCAATCCATCTGATAAAAGAAACCATGGATCTGGACGTGTATGTGGATATWTTGAAAAAAGTTATGCTGCCATAGGCCGAATAGAATTTACCATTAAAGTGGTTGTTTCAGCAAGATATCCCAAAACATACAACTAAATCTGCAAACAAATGGCTTCGCGTCAATAAAGTTGAGGTTATGTCGTGGTCTCCTCAGTCCCCAGACCTTAATTCCAAATAAAACTTGTGGGTTATTGCTGACCGTAGACCATGAAATGCAAGGGAATTATGGAGCACAGCCCACGAGGCATGGCAGCAAATACCGATGAAAAGGTGTTGTGATCTGATCGAGCCCATGTTCCGCAGATCTGCAGCAGTAAGAAAAAAAAAAATGGCGGTTACTCTACTAAATATTAACTAAACTAGCGTATATACTAGTGATAATTTCCAATATTTTAATTTTTTTTTTTTTTAGTTTTATTGCATTTTGTGCTGCACTCCTAATATTTTGAATACAACTGTATATATTTTTTTTATCTATATGAATGTATTTCATTTCAAAAATCCTCATGTTAAATATGTTAGTATATATACATAAATATAGATAGATATACATGTATACATACATACATACATATATGTGTATTAAAAAATTTGAAATTGTTTGGTACAAGCCCGGTTGTTCAGTACTACATTGCTTTTGAGCCTCTGAAGCCTTATAAGATCGTTTAAGGAAGCGTTGTTTTGCTGCGCCAATTCTAGGCAAATATTGAGTGCTGATATTGTCTCCGCCGACGTAACTTTCTTCGTATTGTGGAGACGTCGTTTGTTTCTTCACCTTCAGTAGAGTTATCGTCGGCACAGTGAACTTCATTTTGTACGAAAGACTCCAAAGTAGGTTCAACAATCCATTGCTCAATTTCAGAATTGGATATTTTCTACAATGGTTCTACTACTTGTATCTTCATCTTRCTGTAAACGTAACTCTGAAAGAAGGATGTCATCTTCATTATTCCATTCGGTTGTTATGTCAAACAATTTGACTATCAGTACTCTTTAACTCTCCTTCTTTGGGGTGACAGTGAGCATTATCTATAAGTAAACAAGTAAGGAAGGGCTAAGTTCGGGTGTCACCGAACATTTTATACTCTCGCATGATAAAGTGATAATCGAGATTTCATTATCCGTCATTTA